GATGGATGGATGGATGGATGGATGGATGGATGGATGGATGGATGGATGGATGGATGGATGGATGGATGGATGGATGGACGGACGGATGGACGGACGGACATCCCTCTTTGACTCTGTGTAGCTTACGTCATGAGTCTTCAGTCTTTACAATCAACAGAGCCCTTCCTGCTCATTTTCTCACTAAATTAAATGTGTTCAGAGCCACAAAATGGACTTGAGGCTTAAAATAAAATCAACAAAACTCATAAAGTAGGACATAAACACTATAAAAACTATAGTTTGGGACATTAGGACTAATTTAAAATCTATAATAAACTGTTCACTCTTGACCAGATTGAACTTTCTTGGTTTTTTCTACCTGGATTATTGAGCATGCATCAGGATGTTCACTCTTGTGTTTTTTTTTTTTATATGTTAGAACAACAAAAAAAGACCAAACCCTTATAACAAAATTAAAACAATAAAGCATTTTCTTTGATAATATCTATGCTGGCCTTTGTGAGGTTTTTCTATATTTGTAGAACATTTGTAAAAGTATTCTGTTTTGAAACAATAAAGCAAATAGTTAAAGTGAAGATGGAAATAAGGTGATGCTGGAGGAGAAATTTTAACATGATTAATTTCTTCTCATAAAGACAGAGAAACTATATTTACTTCAGAATATAGTCAAAGTTTTGAATGGCTTGCATTACATATTGTGTGTTTTCTTATTTCAGTTTTTATTTATGAGTTAGTTTTGGTTCAAGGCTACAGAGAACTGATGCAGAGGGGCCAAACAGCCCCAGCGCCCCAGAACTGCAGATTACAGACACCGGGCCATTGTCTCCCTCCGAGTGAAAGCATTTTTGTTTGTTTCTTACTCTTTTTTTATTATATTTTCCCCCCAATCATTTATTTATATTGTGCGTTTGTTTGACAGAAGAAGATCAAGTAAGGAAGCGTTATTGTGATCATTTCACAGAAAAGTTCAATAAAATCGTCCAATCTTAACCATTTAAAGCACAAGTTTTTAAATGATTATATGATAATGAGAACAAAAAAAACAATTATACGTCCTACATCCTTTTGTAAGATTAGTATTTTAATTGTTTTATAGATGACGTCTCTGTGTTTTAATAGATACAGCAGTTTGCAGTTTATTTTATAACTATTCTTCACAGAATTAAAATGTGCGTTGCATTTTATCACCACTAGAGGGCGCCCTGCATCGATGAAAACCCACACGTTTCTGTCGTTTTTAATTCCTACTTGTCCATTTTCTAAAACAAATAAATGGTTAAAAAGACATGGAAGTGACCAAATGTCAGTTTTTGTGTATTTTGTTTTTTTTAGATGCTGCAGGGAACAGAACAGTCCACAGGTAAGGTTCTTCTGAAAAGCAAAGTTTGCTGCAGATGATGTCAAGTCCTGACAGCCTCTGCTCCTGCAGTGGTGGGAATCTTGGAGGTGATGAAGAAGAGTTCGTGCCAACCCATGGAGCAACTGGTGGATGTGCAGCAGGAGTTCCCCGAGGAGGTGGAGTACATCTACATCCCTCCGTGTGTCCCACTGAGGAGGTGCTCAGGCTGCTGCTCTGATGATGAACTGCAGTGCCACCCCACCTCTCAAAGCAACATCACAATGCAGGTGTGGGAAGACCTCGAATACACCTCCAGCTGATGTTTAGCTTCCTGCTCAGCCTTTTCTTCGTCTCCTCAGGTGATGCAGGTGATGCATATGGTGTCGGCACAGAAAGTGGAACTCACGTTTGCAGAGCATCATGCATGTGAATGCAGGTGAATTACAGATGAATCTCAATGACAAACATCAAATCCTGTGATTGTTTTTACAAAACAGACACCTGAAACGTGTTTTTCTCTTCTTCAAAGGCCCAAAAGAAAACCTTTAAATCATAAACGGTCAGTAAACAGACTTTTTATCTGTGGAATTTGAGCACATTATTATCTTGATTATATGTTTTGCTCCTTCTGTGCAGCTGCAGCAGCAAGAAGAGACCTCGAACGAGGAAACAGAAAAAGAAAGGTCGCCTCTGTGGAAAGTAAGAAACTGATTTGCCCCCTGAAAGCATTCACACGCATTGATGGGGGCTTTTACAGCACAGTTATCAACCTTTCTCTCACTCTGCCACATATACAGAAAATATCAAAAGTTATTGCACATTATCAGCCCCGTTTCTTCAGCAGACCTTTAGTCACTCCAGATCACTCCTGGAGAGCCATTTCTGTAAGGGCCCAGAGGAATTGTGCTGTAGCAAGACAGTCTTAGACCACAGATTAACCCAAGAACTACCAGACGGAAGGTTTACTGTCAAAACCACCAGATTCACTGTCTAGGAATAAAGCAGAGAATAAGGAGAGGAAGAAACGTAAAGATTGTTAGTGAATCTCAGATGTTTTTACCAAATGTGTATTTTGAGCTCCACATTTTCAAACGATCCTGAAACCACAGCAGTAATCTGCTTAATCCAAATTCCACTCATTCTGCAATCCTGAAACATTGTGAACATTTTAAATGCAAACTGAAAGCAATGATTTGCAAACCTCATGAACTCATATAGGCCTGTGATGAACTTGTCCAGGGTGAGCCCCGTCTCTCACACAATGGCTGCCTTCCCTTGACCTGGAAAGAACAGAAGAAGTTAAAGAAAATGGATGGATGAATGGATGGATGGATGGATGGATGGATGGATGGATGGACGTTTAAATCCCAGTTGAACAAAATAAACATGTCAAACATTTAAACAACAAAAAATACAATTTCTATGAAAAAATTTTAAGTTATTCTGTTTTTGATGGAGGTGGCACAGAGGTGCAGTGGTTAGAGCAGCTGCCTCTCTGAGATAAGGTCATAGGTTCACCTTCCAGCCTTTCTGGGTGGAGTTTGCACATCTCATTTGTATGTTCTCTCCGTGCATGCATGGTTTTTCTCCGGGTCCGGTTTCCTCCCACAGGCCAAAAACATGCATGTTAGGCTGATTGGTAACTCTAAATTGTCCCTAGGTGTGACAGAGTGAATGGTTGTTTGTCTTGTTTGTCTCTATGTGTCCCTGTGATGGACTGGAGACCTGTCCAGGGTGTCCCCAACCCTTCTCACAGTGACTGCTGAAGATAGCATCTGGTCTCATTCATTCATTCAACCTTTGTTTATACAGGTTAACCCCATCCTTCTCATCCTTGATGTTTACAGACTGTTAAAAAGAAGGGAAGCTTTATGGTGTTAATTTTTTAAATGCTTTATTGCCATCAAATTGAAAATGTCCTTATTTAGTCCAAAAAAAATGGCACAAATTACTTAGTTTAAACATTTGACATGTTCATTGTGAACAGATAAATGGTTTTATGAGATGTGCAAAGCCTTACATTCTGTTTATATTCAGTTTTTATTCAGATGTCTTGTTTTCAGAAGACACGTGTTTGAGCTCTCTGAGTCATTCTGCCCTCGTTAGCACAGACAGAAAGGAAATCAATTTTATCATGAGGTATCACTTTTCCAACACAAGACAAGCTTCACCTTGAAAAACAAGGTTTAAACAGGAAAGACTTGTAATTAGATTCAGCTTACTCACTGTGTTAGGGTCTTTGGCTCAAAGAAACGCCGGGACGTTTGTTCAGCATGCAAGAATCCTCCCTTTGTTGTTGTTTGTTTCTGAGGTGTCATCATGCAGCCGCAGATTATTTGAAGGGAAATAAGAAAGCATTTGAGGTATTTGGGTCAACAGCCTGAGGCACAGCCTGCAGGGAGAAATCGGCCCCTCTTTAAATGGTTTATTTTGGGCTTAGGGTCACTGTGGGGGGAGACGCTTGTGTTTGACAATTCGTATCTCCCACAAAGATATATAGATATATATAT